GCATCATCGTTACACAAGTTCTGTTGACATCATTGAATGGATGGGTCCTGATCATCCTTAACTTTTTAAAAATCTTTTTCAGGGTAGGAATTTCATTACCTAACTATGTAAGATCAAGCAAATAGTAAGCTCAGGGAGCATCAAGAACTTCAACCCTGAGCTACAGAACTTATTTATTTTATTTATTTGTATCCCACCTTTTATTATTTTTGCAATAACTCAAAGCGGTGAATTTATCCAACTCACTTTCCTCTTCCTATTTTCCCCACAACAATCCCGTGAGGTGACTTAGGCTGAGAGTAACTAACCTATGATCACCCAGCTGGCTTTCATGGCTAAGGCATGATAAAAACTTATGGTATCCCATTTTCTAGCATGGTGCCTTAACCATTAGAACCATCTCCCTCCCCCCCCCCCGAGGTTCACATAGTGTAGATATTGAGAGGTAACATCCTGAGCCAATCCAGTTTGTGCATTCAGCAAATGAATGAACTCTAACAACAGGCCTATGTACCATATTAAAGGAATCTCATTGTACCATATCTATTGTCACATCTATTTTTAAATGACTGTTGCGCTGCCAAGTGCATGTCAATTGGTTTGCCAAGTTTTTTAAAACTATACTGCAACCAAGATCCTTCAAAAGGAAGGACTTACTTTTATTTAAACCAGAGACTTCATTTCAAAAGTGAAAGCCAATCCAGTTATAATAACCTTTTTTCTTTTGATCTTTGAAATATTTATAAAGGATTATAGTTCTGCTTATAAACAGTGAGTTGCTCATCTCACAGCAAACTGACAAGGTGAGAGTTTTATAGATCAGCAGATGGAGAGAGTCCCCCACCTGCCATCAGTTATAGAAATCAAGGTTCTCTAGTGATTTTTTTTTTTTACTTATGTCCCAAACGTTGACACAACCAGATAAATTGAAAAAACTATTTTCTTTGCACTGGAACTTAAAAGCAAAAGAAAAAAGAAATACATGGGGTGTGGAAATATCTTGTGATATATTAGTCAAAATATGCATCTAACAGTTGGATGTCCTTCGAGGTCTTCTAGTCCAGCCCCCTGCTCAGGCAGGAAACCATATCATTTCAGACAAATCGTTGTCCAATCTCTTCTTAAAAACTTCCAGTGTTGGAGCATTCACAACCTCTGGAAGCAAGTCATTCCACTGATTAATTGTTCTTACTATCAGGAAATTTCTCCTTAGTTCTAGGTTGCTTCTCTTCTTTAATAGTTTCCATCCATTGCTTCTTGTCCTGCCTTCAGGTGCTTTGGAAAATAGCTTGACTTCCTCTTCTTTGTGGCAGCCCCTGAGATATCCTGTCATCCCTCGTCCTTCTCTTCATTAAGCTAGACATACCCAATTCAAGCAGTTGTTCTTTACATGTTTTAGCCCCAGTCCCCTAAACATCTTTGTTGCTCTTCTCTGCACTTTTTCTAGAATCTCAACATCTTTTTTATATCATGGCAACCACAACTGGATGAAGTATTTGAAGTGTGGTCTTACCAAGGCATTATAAAGTGGTATTAACACTTCATTTGATCTTGATTCTGTCCCTTTGTTAATGCAGCCTAGAACTGCATTGACTTTTTTGACAGCTGCAGCACACTGCTGGCTCATATTTAAGTGATTGTCTACTAGGACTCCAAGATCCCTCTCACAATTACTACTATTGAACCAGCTACCACCTATACCAGGGGTGTCACACTGCCTGCCCGCGGGCCGGATGCATCATAGCGAAACTGCGCCCACCCCATTGCTGGCAATGGTAAAAAAGTCATGATAGGTCACGACACATCATGTGATATTGCGAGTTTAACACCCCTGACCTATACTATACCTGTGCATTGGTTTTTCTTGCCTAAATGTAGAACCTTACTTTTTTCACCGTTGAATTTCATTTTGTTAGATAGTGGCCAATGTTCAAGTCCTAGTCCTAATCCTATATTCTAAACACTATATCATACTGCCTTTTTACTTAATGAACCATAATCATTAGATTTCCAGTTCAATTTTGAAAAAGCTAATCCTCTTGAAGCCAGAGAGATATGTGGTAAAATAAAAACCACACGTCTGTCCATTTGTTTTTTAAGAAGTGATTCTGTCCTCATCTTTTGGTGCCTTTAGCCCATTGTCAAACACTATTGTCAGGTGGAGCAACTTCCTGGTTCATTATGATAGCTCTCATATGAAAAAGTTCTGTAATATGGAAAGTGAAATTGTGGTGAGAGGTTATATTAAACCAGGCCCCAAATCTCATTATATAATTCATTATAAGTTATGTTGGCAGAATCAAAGAGGTGCAGGATAATTTTGCACTGTAGCCAGTTCAGTAACCCAGTCTTCTGGTATTCAGAATTTTGTGGAAGAGAAATTAGATGGCTTCAATGGTACTGGTGAAATAAATTTAGCTGTAAAACAATTTATTAAAGATGGGAGGGGAAACTTCGATATAAATATATGGGTGTATATACTTTGGAGACACTGAGGCTGCACCTGTTCATTTTGTTTTCTCCCTCTTTCTTAATTTTAAGCATATGCTACCCAACGCCACCAATTTTACTGTTTTCTCTTCTTCTGCAGTAATAAAGAACATGTTATTAAGATACCTAGATATGCTACTTGGAAAACACAGCCTATGGGTTGCTTTAAAAGAAATGGGTAAACTTTCCTTTCCCACTCAATAATAACCACATGCATACATAAATGAAAGTAAACAAGGGGACGAAGCCAGACAGAGGTGAAAAATATCTAGAGACAAGGTTTATCTGCAGAAAAAGAACACAGTGCATGCTTCTAGGTGCCAGCTCTTCCTGTGTTCTCTTTGCTTAGTCACCACATCTTCCTGAAGGCCTTTTCTCTAATGCAGTCAGGTATGTGCTATTATACGGCAACATGGTGCTGTAGTTAAAAACTAGTAGCTTGGTTTTCAGAAAAAAAGGAAATGCAACCTGGCTATCAAAAATATCCTGAATCTGCTCTGTTAATTCACGCAATGTAGATTTTTTTTCCAAATGCCAAGGTGAATTCATTTCCTAGCTTTTTTTTGTGACTCACAGACTGAAAAGTCTCGTAAAGAGTTCTCCCTCATATTAGCCTAATATGAGATAGTAGATATTAAGGGAAAAGAGAGGAACTATCTGATGTTGTAACTTGAGATTTGTACTAAAGATTTATGTATGTTATTGAACTATTGATTAACCCAGTCACCACGTTGCTTCTTAAATACTTAATTGTAAAATTAGAAAACTAATAAAATATTATTTTAAAAAAAGAGTTCTCCCTCACTTGCTCCCAGCCACAGCACAAATGTGCTCTGGCAACCTTTTGTTCAATTGTGTCCTCAGAACAACCCATACCTGAGGTAACTTAAGATTGTCCCTAGCTGTTCCAGTTGGACAATAATGTTTGTCCTCTTCTCCTAACATAATCAAGGATGATTTGTTTGCTTTTTTTATCTTGTGTTTTAATTTGGGTGAGACATCATTCTAAAAGAGCACTATTCATATGCTGTACACACCAATTTAAAACAAGAAAGTGAGATCAGCCAGCAGTGTCTTGCTATGTATTCTAGATTTTTCATTGCTTTGGCCAACAAGGAGTTTCATATGGCTATACTTTTTCCTTTTTTTTGTTTTATTTTTTCTGATAGGTTATACAAAAGCACTACAACTGTCACTCTAGAAAGGCAATGCTCTCAACCTCTGGAAGGAATACTTAAGTGTAATAGGCAGAAGAATAACCTTGAATCATAGATTCGTAGGGCTGGAAGAGACATTGCAGGTCTTCTAGCACAACCTCTTACCCAAGGCAGGAGTCCTTATACCATCCCAAGTAAATGGATGTTCAGTCTTTTCTTGAACATTTCCAGAGACGAACCACCCACAACTCTGGGAGACAAGCTATTTCACTGACTAATTGTTCTGACTGTCAGGAATTTTGTCCTTAGTTCCAGGTTGAGTCTCTTTTTAATGAGCTTCCATCCATTGCTTCTTATCCTGCCCTCAGGTGCTTTGGAGAGTAAATCAGTCCTCCCATCTCTGTAACTGCCTTTTAAGTATTGGAAGACAGTTATCGTGTCACTCCTAATTCTTCTCTTCATTAGGCTAGTCATACCAGGTTCTCTTAGCTGTTCATCCTACAGTTTAGCTTCCTGACCCTTTATCATCTTTGTTGCTCTGCTTTGCATACTTTCTAGAGCCTCAGCGTTTTTTTTTAATCATGGCCACCAGAACTGGATGCAGTACTCCAAATGTGGCCTCACTAGTATAGAGCAGGGGTCTTCAAACTTGGCCCTTTTATGACTTGTGTACTTCAACTCCCAGAATTCCTCAGACAGGCACGCTGGCTGAGGAATTCTGGGGGTTGAACTCCACAAGTCATAAAAGGGCCGAGTTTGAAGACCCCTGGTATAGAGCATCACTACCATTTCCTGTGTTCTTGATGCTATCCCTCTGTTGATGCAGAACAGGAAGAGGAGCCACTACTAAGATAATGCTCATATAAAAGAAACTTGAGTTTGAGGCAGAACTATATCTTCATGAAGATAAAGGGAGGGAGGGAGGGAGGGAGGGGGGAAACATATTCAGACAAATGAGTTTTTATCACCATAACATTATACAACCCTCATGACTTTTGTTTTCTAGCCTGGTTTATCTTCAGCGGTTGACAATAAGTAACCATGTACTTTCCACAGTAATTTATTCAAGGCTCTGTGATTATTTATGTAAATCTGGGATGTGAACTGGAAGCTATTTTGCACATTCCATTCTGGATTTGGTGCTATTGCCTTAATTGTTATTGCATACAGACTGATGACAAGTGTGCTGTTCTATCCTCAGTATTCTGCATGATCATTTCTCAGTTGCTTCCAGGTATCACTACACACAAGGAATTCCTTGATCTCTCTCAGTGACACCTTCTGTTCCTTTGAAGCATAAGTCCAACCCGGATTTTGCTCATTATAGATTGCTCCCACCTGTTTTACCCCTACCTCCTTGTAGAAGAGTATGGAGATGATCTTGAAGGAAGAATTCAACAATCATTATGTAAACATCAGCTTTGTCTGGATCAGGCATGTCAAACTCGCGACGTCAAGTGATGTCGTGCGACGTATCTGAGCTTTTTCTCCATTGCCGGCAATGGGGTGGGCACGGCTCCGGTATGATGAAACCGGCCCACGGGCTGGCAGTTTGACACCCCTGGTCTGAATGAACAGAAGGAGTATGAGGAAAATAATCAAGATATTTCCATTTTGATTCTCTTCAATATAAGAGGAGATAGAAAGGTCCTGTTATTATACCCTATATAAAAATAAAGAGGAGATCCAATAATTCACTGTTTCTCAACCTTGACAATTTTAAGGCATGTGGACTTCAACTCCCAGAATTCCACAGCCAGCAGTGGAATTGTTGTGGTATATGTTTCCTAATCTGGTTTAGCTTGAGGGTTGACACATTATCTCTGGCTTTTGTTTATTTATTTATTTGTATTCTGGCTTTAATATTTTTACAAATAACTCCGGGTGGCAAACATATCCAACACTTCTTCCTCCTCCTTTTTTTCCTGTGAGGTGAGTCAGACTGAGAGAGAGTGACTGGCCTAAAGTCATCCAGCTGCCTTTCATGGCTAAGGTAGGACTTGAACTCATGGTCTCCTGCTTTCTAACCTGGTGTCTTAACTGGCTCTTTAGCTGTCAGTTTAGAGCCAACACTTTTTGGAAAGGGTGTTTTGTTCAGAAAGAGTCCAACTGATAAGCAGCAGGTATGGATCATAAATCATGAGGGACATTGGAAGAAGGACATTGCTGCTACATTCCCACATCTTTAGTCAGATAAGGTGACAGGTGTCTAAATCTGGCTTCCTCGAAGTCCATTTAAATTCACACCACTCCACTTAGGAAAAGTGACAGGTAAGTATTTTTCTGCTGGTAGGTGGCCCAGGAACCAAGCCAGGGAAATGTACTGATTTTCTTCACTTGACCTGCAATTTTTTTATAAAAAGGATAATCCCATGGATATAAGGAAGTTCCCTTAGCCCTAAATCTTATCCATAAATCTTTTGCTCTGACTACTGTTTATTTATTATTTACTCTGTTTTGACTTCTAACAAAGACATTACAAATGTTAATAAATTTGATCTCTAAAAAGATAAATGTAATGTTATCCAATAATATGAGAATGTTTTGGTTCAAGCATAAGGTATACTATAAAGACATTATTCATAAAGATAATATTTTTTCACTGATATCATTTTAGAATTTGATCTTTCTGTCTGTACTTTTAAACTTCCACTTTTCATCCATGCCTCTTCTCATTTTTTAAAAAATTATTAAGGTTTTATTGAATCAACTTTTATGACTGCTAGGAAGCTCTGGGAATATGAAAGCAATTCATAGGTAAATAATTAACTGGAAATGATTGAACTGGAAGTTAATTCCTTTGAATTGTGACTGCCTGATTATAGAAAAGAGCAGCTTCTGAAGATCAAGCAAAATGTTTATAATTAGGACAATGGGATATTGGAAATTGTAGCTGAAAAAAATTTCAACAGCCACCAAGTATTACCTTTAGGACAAGCAAATTGTTGGACATAGTAATATATTGTAATGTTTGGGTTAGGAGATGAAGAAATACAGTTGTTGTTTTTTTAAAAAAAGACACCATATTAAAGTTTGAGCACTTTAGTTTAAAATATCAGAGTTTTTTCTTTGTGCCCATCTGGACTATTTAAACCAGGGATCTTCAAACTTGGCCCTTTTATGACTTGTGGACTTCAACTCCCAGAATTCCTCAGCCAGGCAAGGAATTCTGGGAGTTGAAGTCCACAAGTCATAAAAGGGCCAAGTTTGAAGACCCCTGATTTAAACAATGGAAGAAAAAACAGATAGATTTCCTGCTGTATGTACATTCCTATTTCCTGAAAATGTGTTATAGTATTTCCAAATGATTAAAGCTAACTTCCTGTGCATGGAAGGCACGATTGTTGTGCAGAGTATATGTTTTTGGGAACTTTCTTAGAGAAGAATGCTTAGATATTCCTATCAAGGCAGTCAAAGTAGAAAAGAAGCTACAGTTTGTAAGTATTTGCATGAAGACCAAAACGTGGGGTGTGGGAGGGAGAAGCAGAGAAAATGCTGTTATTATATTCAGTTATACAATTTTGTTCCATAGGTTTCTGCCTACAGCACTGCTGTAATTACTTCTGAGTAAGCAAAGTAATTCTAAAAGATCTAAAAAGTAAGTGGAGAAGACTTTTAAATAGTTATATTGTCCTGATAAATGTGCTGGTTCACTATAATGGTTCTGGGGTTGTTAATTGCGAAGTCGTGTCCGACCCGTCGCGACCCCATGGACAATGTTCCTCCAGGTCTTCCTGTCCTCTACCATCTTCTGGAGTCCATTTAAATTCACACCTACTGCTTCAGTGACTCCATCCAGCCATCTCATTCTCTGTCGTCCCCTTCTTCTATTGCTCTCAATCTTTCCCAACATTAGGCTCTTCTCCAGTGAATCCTTCCTTCTCATTAGGTGGCCAAAGTACTTGAGTTTCAACTTCAGGTTCTGGGGTACCAAAGCAAAGATAACAGATTTAAGATCATCCTTAGCTGTGGAAGTTTTCTGGCTGATTTGGGGGCAGACTCTCTACATTGTTCTCACAGGTTGTTCTGATTGCAAAACTTGAAGAAGGGAAGGCATCACAGGGGGAATATGCATGTAAATGAAAATAATACATAATGAAAAGCTTGGCTCTTTATTAGGTTTCTGTGCCACATCACAAATGGCTTTTAAAACTGCCTTGCTAAAAGATCCACAAGGTTGTTTGCCAGATTTCCTGGAATCTGAAGATAAATTTGCCTGCTCTACAATATTTAGCTTCCAGTGTACCCGTTATAAAACATTTTCCCTATTTGTTTTCAAGAAAATGTCTGGGTTTTGTGTATATGTTTGTTCTTGCTGGATAAATCCAGAATAACATTCTCTTTTGAAATCTGCGAGGTCCAGATCCCATTTGTGGCCAAGGGAATTGAGATAGTACAATTAGCAAGTAGCCTTATTTTTATAGATTTTGAGAAGACAGAATCAACAAAAGTTTTGATTCCTAAATGAATACCCACACCCACACATCCCAAACCTTTATGCAGCTTTGCGCATACAATATCCAGCAAGCCCTACCAGTTTGAGCAACCTGGCATATGAGACCAACCCTTCCTAATGCAATACCATGTATAACTTACACACTAGTTCCCTTTAAGCTACTCACACCCATCAATTTGCTTTACTCAACAAAAATAAAAATCTTACTTTACCAAGAATGTGATCCTATACATACTATACAGAAGTATAGGCTCCATTCAACTAACTAGCCAATGTGCGCGCGCGTGCGCACACACACACACAAAGACCCATACATAATTCAGGCATAGATAACTTCAGAGGCTTAAAGCTTAAGTTCCATTTTGCAAATACTATAAAAAACATTTCCTTCAGTGGAAGATTCAAGGAAAGTCACCAGCAAGTTTGCAGCATTATTTTTGAAGAAGGCTAGTAAAACCTCTCTTTCCCCTTAATTGAAAGCACTATTTTTGTCACAGGGAAAAAAAAAAACCACAATCCAATTACTGGATAGCAATACTATCTATACTCCCTTTTCAATGCCTGCATATGTGCTATGGAAAATTGTTGAGAATTCTTTGGACTGCAGCTCAATGCAAACAGGAGAAAAGAAGTTGAAAGAGTAATAGACATTGTCTTCCAGTGCTTAAAAACTCAGAGACTGTGACTGTAACTATGAAATACAGTGATGTCTGCTCCTGTGGAGGCAGACAATGGAAGATGTAGGTAAAATATTTAGATGCAGAGACCTTCTAATAATTACAAAGATATTTAATGTCAAGACTATGGATTTCCCTAGTTGTAATATGTGACTGGAAGCTGGATCATTTGAAAGACTGAATGAAGGAAAGGACCAGGGGTTGGGGACCCCTGCTTTAAATTGTGATTAAAAAAAGCAAAACTATGAGGTTATCTTGGACTGTAAAAGAAGAACAACTCATTCAGTGCTAGAGGAAGTCAAACCAGGTTGCTTGTTAAAGAAGTGTTAATAAATAAGCTAGCACTATTTTGGATACATAATGCATAGGCAAGAGTCACAAGGAAACACTGATGTGCTGGAAAAAGTAAAGGCAATTAAAAAAGACTGGCTGAGAGAAGAGAAAGTGACTTGATGCTATCACTGATGATATGAGCAGGAGCTTACAAGAAGTTCAAGCAGGTGAAAAGATGTCCACAGATCATGAAGAGATGAAAATGACTGATTGATTGGCTTCCCCACTGACTTTGCTTATCAGAAGATCCTAAAACAGTGTTTCTCAACCTTGACAATTTTAAGGCATGTGGACTTCAACTCCTAGAATTCCACAGCCAGCATTGCTGGCTGTGGAATTCTGGGAGTTGAAGTCCACATGCCTTAAAATTGTCAAGGTTGAGAAACACTGTCCTAAAAGGTGATCCATGACCCTGGAACATTGCAACGGTCACAAAGAGGAGTCAGTTCCCAAGCAGCTGAATTTTGATCATGTGACCACAGGGATGCTGCAATGGTCATTAAGTGTGAAAAATGATCCTAAGTCACTTTTTTTTAGAGTTATTGTAACTCAACAGTCACTAAACAAACTGTTGTAAGTTGAGGACTACCTGTACTATAATGGGATTATAGAGTCTTAATACTACATTTCCCAACAGCCCTCCCCACACTCCCCATAACTGCTGTGGCTATCTTAAAGAAGTGAAGACTTTACACAGGCAGGGAGGGTATATGTGGGGGAGGATAGAAAGACCAGTCAAATTAAGCCTGAAAAGGGATTAGAAAAAACTGTGAAAGTGCAGAAGCATAATTTTCAACTCAGAATTGAAAGAAAATAAAGTAATCAGACACTGAGCCTGTGGGAAGAATCTCTTTTAATTCTTTACAAAATTAAAGATTTCAAAAAATACTAAGATCCACCAAGTGGAACCTTGGGCAAAAAAACATGTGTTTAGAGTTAAAAGAATCCATACACCATGAATTTATTTCAAATTACAGAACTGAATGAAACTCAAGTTGCTCCCTTGCAAAATTCACTTTTATTTAGCGGTTTCTCCATTTCTGGCATGTATATTTCTGTCATAATCAAAGTATCAGTAATCTGTGAGGTCATATAAAATAGCCAGAAATCCCTTAGCACATCAAATTTCAATCCATCTGTTAAGTAGCTCTTTGTTAGCTGTTGTCTAACAAAGATACCTTGGGGATAGTTGCTATAAACTTTCTAAATTCTTCACGAAAAATAGCTAGGAAATATTAGTGGTTGGATTTTTAAAAATACATTACAGCATAAGTTTTGAATGGACTTCTGTGACTCAGAGACAAACTTTTTGCAGATGTCCTATAACACAAATACAAAAATAAATACATCTGACAAGGGAAACCTTTATTGCTTACTCTGAGTAGTTAATAGCTACAATATGTAAACTATGAATGTTAAGCAAGCTAACTATTTCCCCCCAATTTCCACTAAGTTTGCTACTGATTCTCCCCTCTTCCTTATAGTAAATCTCTCTTGAAAGTTGAGGGGTAAGAAATTGACCAAGTGGTTTAGCCAAGTTTTGGATTCACTTCTTTACAGCTACATGTTCACATTTTCCTGGTTGTTCCTTATTAAACCCCTGTTGGGACTTACTAGGTAAGATGGTAATTGTTCCATTTAATGTCCTTTCTGCTGGCCTCCAGCCCTGTTCACAGAACCCCAATGATGATTTTATACTCTGGCATAGTTTTAATGATGATCCAAATCCCTGGTGGTGCAAATGGTTTTCCTAGCCCTGCTTTTTAGCTTGACCTCTAAATGGATGTTTAATCAGCAAAAATAGAGCTCAGTTTTATGTTTGGCCTCAAAGTGGGAAAGAGGCCGAAGCTGATCCTTCTGCTAGTTCCCCTTGTTCTCTCGAGTTTTTGCATTTCCATCGCACGCAACCTGCTTGACCTGCCAGGATTCTTGCTCTTTTGATTTCCGGGTGCCTTCTTCTGCTTGTTGCCCTCCAGGAAGATCACCTACCTCCTCCCCCTGCCACCCCCTTCAAATCCTTGCAAATCCTAAATTTTCACAGTGCTGGCTGGGGAATTCTGGGAGTTGAAGTACACACATCTTAAAGTAGTTGAGACTGAGAAACTCAACCCTCGCAGTACAGGGCCGCGTTTCTTGTCCGGAAAGCAAACAAATCCTTATCTCTCGGCTGTCCATTACCTTCACTCTCTGGTCCGCTGTCCCGTAAAGCCACAACTTTCCATTGCTTGGCAAAGCAATTGGCAAAGGACCCATTAAGACGCCCGGCCGCCGGTCTGACTGAGGCGAGCTGATGAGTCACGGTTCCTACAGCAGCCAGCAAACGCGAAGCTTTCGCTGCAAGAAGCTGACGGGCTGGCTCGGTTCCTAGGCTGGGAAAGGAAAGTTGCTTTGGCCAGCAAAGGTCGGCTTTTGCAGGGTTGCCTTTGCTCGCACGTGCGGCTTCAGCGCCAGGCCCCGGACAAGAGCCAGCGTGGGATAAAAGTGAGGGAAACAGCCAGGCGATTGCTGAAAGGGAAAATGGAGGAGGAGAAGCAGCAGCAGCAGCAGCCGCCGCCGCAGCCGCCGCCGCCGCCGCCTTGTTTGTAAAATTAACTACTCCATCGAGGGAACTGATCTCAAGGATGTGTGTGTGTGTGTGTGTGTGTGGCGACAGTACACAACTGGTGTGTCTTTGCCACCTACTGTGATATTTTTTTCAACTGCCTAGTGTGGTGTACATGAGATTTCTTGGTGGTGTCCCATCCAAGCATTAACCAGATCCAACGCTCTTAAGCTGCCTTAAGACATAAAATTTGGGTCATGAAATATATGTACAACAATATAGAAGTTATTATTTTAAAATGGAGAACAAGGATGAATGGATGGATAGTTAGATAGAGTGAGGTCAGAGAGATAAATACAGAGAGATATCTCCCAAAGGTGCTTTTTCATGAGGCAACTGGACATTCTTTTTTTTTTCTCTTTGAAGACTTTTCTCTTTAGAGAAAAAAGAAAGTCCAGTTGCCTTGTGAAAAGCACCTTTGGGACAATAATGACCTGGATGACTGAGAATCTCCATAGACAGACAGAGAGAATACACTATAGTTACAGTTGTGTTCTTTATATTTCCTTCCATTTTTTTCTCCCTGTTGTTACTTTTAAGATTTGTATTTATTTTGTTTTTAAAAGGGGGGGGAAGCAAATCAGACTGATTGAAGTAACACAGGTGTATATAGGTAACTTAAGAGCCCAGATTGAATGTTTTTATGGAGAAAGTTTTAATAGCTTTATTTACTGTACAGTTCAATATATTCCTACCACCAACCGTCTAATATTTGTTGCCATGTTCCTCAGATTCATAAGATTATGGCTAAAATAACAACAGTGGTGTTGGGTGCACTGTTGGAAGACTTGAAGGACCAGGTTAGGGATAGATTATCATGCAGTCATCACTGACTTGATGGCACATAATCAAAACTAAAGTTTGCCCGAATGGTAAACCTATTTTCTTAGGAATAAAGTTTTGTGATATAAAAGCAACAAGGAATAGAAATTTAAGACCATAGGGAAGTCTTCAAACACACATACATATAGACATACAAAGTTATTATTTTTTTATGCCACTCATCACCCCTATTAGGCAACTCTGGGCTTATTAATTTCCATTCAGCATGTGTTGGATCAATCTAGGATAAAATTTCACACAGAAAGCAAGCTGTTTGGGTAACTCTGAACTCCCACTATACAAGTCAGGATAAAGTGGTGTGGAGACATGCATTTTGCCTTGTATACCTTGGTAGTTTTAAGATGCATGGACTTCAACTCCCAGAATTCTCTAGCCAGCATAGTTATTGAAGTCTGCAAGTCTTAAAGTTGGCACAGTTGAGAAGCACTGCTTTAGAGGAACAATGGGTAACAAATACTTGTATTAATATGGAGGCAGTATTGCTATACATCTAAATCAGGGGACTTCAAACTTGGCCCTTTTAAGACTTGTGGAGTTCAACTCCCAGAATTCCTCAGCCAGGCATGCTGGCTGAAGAATTCTGGGAGTTGAAGTCCACAAGTCATAAAAGGGCCAAGTTTGAAGACCCCTGATTTAAACCATGGAAGAAAAAGAAGATTTGGGTCCAGTATAGTCAGCTTGTTTGAAGACCCCTCATCTAAATGTACATTATAAAATTAGCTTCAATTCTAGAGGGGAAACCAGTTACCCAAGTGACTTAAGATCACTTTAAGATGATGCCAAATTTCAAAAATGTTTTTCAGATTTTTAGGGATAGCGAACATCTGACCTACTTTAGACTACATCACCCAGTAGTTCTAACTGGCTACCCTAGTTAGATCTATATTGTAAGTTGTAGTTCAGCCTAAGAACAGTGCTCTGTGGATTGGATCCTTGCTCATGAAGTACATCAGCCTACTACAGCTACAGATAGTCCTCAACTTATGACCACAGTCGAGTCCAAGATTATTCTTCAGTTTTGCCCCATTTTACCACCTTTCTTGCCACAGTTGTTAAATGAATCACTGCAGTTGTTCAGTTAGTAACACAGTAGTTAAGTGAACCAGGCTTCCCCATTGACTTTGCTTGTCAGAAGGTCACAAAAGAGGATCATGTGATCTCGGGACATGCAACCATCATAAATATGAGTCAGTTGCCAAATGTCCGAATTTTGAACCCATAACCATGGGGATGCTGCAATGGTCATAAGTGTGAAAAACAGTCATAAGTCACTTTTTTTAGTGCAGGGGTCTTTAAACTTGGCCCTTTTATGACTTGTGGACTTCAACTCCCAGAATTCCTCAGCCAGGCACGCTGGCTGAGGAATTCTGGGAGTTGAAGTCTACAAGTCATAAAAGAGCCAAGTTTGAAGACCCCTCTTTAGTGCAGTCACTCAATGAACTGTCATAAGTTGAGGACTACCTATAGCCCTTCACTTATGACCATAATTGAGCACAGAATTGCAGTTGTAAGTCATGGTGCTATTAAGTGACTCATTTTTTGTTTTGATCATTAAGTGAGTCTCCCATGATCCTTAAGTGGTCATTGTTCATTACCCATTGTCTGCAATGGGTACTTTTTCCAGAAACCCAAAGGTGCTTTTTCAGGAGGCAACTGGGCTTTCTTGTTTTTCTTTGAAGACATTTCGCTTCTCATCCAAGAAGCTTCTTCAGCTCTGACTGGATGGTGGGGAATGGAAGGATTTATACTCCTTGCAGACAGCTGGTCATTTGCATTCTTTTAGAGAATCCTTGGGGCCACTTGGAAGTTTATCTGTGTCCTGAGGTTTACCTGAGTAGTGCAAATGGGTGTGGAGCCTTCTGGCTGTAGGGTGTTTTCTGTCCTGTTCCTGTAGTCCACAATGTTTTCTGGGAATCTGTTCATACTCCCACACCATGATGGGGAATGGAAGGATTTATATTCCTTCAGTGACCAGCTGTCTGCAAGGAGTATAAATCCTTCCATTCCCCACCATCCAGTCAGAGTTGAAGAAGCTTCTTGGATGAGAAGCGAAACATCTTCAGAGAAAAGCAAGAAAGTCCAGCTGCCTCCTGAAAAAGTGCTTTTGGGACAACCATGACCTGGATGACTGAGAATCTCCATAGACATTTTTTAAGAAACATTGTAAATCATAGTCAGAAACATTGTAAATCATGACTACAGGTTGCTGCAAATGGCCGTAAATTCATGGTGGATGCCAAAAGCTGAAAATGTGATCATATGACATGAGGAGGGAACGCGGCCATTGGAACTTTGAATCTGGGTATAAGTATCTTTTTTGGGTCCCTCAAACTATTGCTAAGGGACCATCTGTACTTCAAGGACTACCTGTAATATTCTAGCAGATGCCCTTCGGGTGCTGTGATACTGCCATTGAGGCTAATAGCCTTCTTCAACTCTTCTTTTTTTGAAGCCAACTAAGCTAGTAGCTAGCACCACATTTCATGGTAGCAAATTCTAAAGCTGAATTACATATTGTGTAAAACAAAAAGAGTCCTTTCCTCTGTCTTGGTTCTTCCAGGATTTAATTTCATTGGGTGACCCCTGGTTCTGATATTTTGAGAAAGGGAAACTAGCTGTCAAGTTTCAAAGCAAGGTGCGACAAATATTGCTTCTCAGCTTGCCAACAAACTTGGGGGGAGGAATGCAGACTTCAAAGATTAAGAATTCTGACCCAGAATTTAATGCTTTTACTATATGGGTTTGGGAGGGATCTTGCCAGAGCTGGTTTTGCTTTCATTAATGCCAAAGTGATGTACTCAATAAAGTTTTACATTAAGAGATCAGAATGTCTCGAAGGTGTTTGCTTGGTTGGGTTTATCAGCTGGAACCTTGACACTAGTTTTCCCTTGTCCACTTTATTCATACCATCCATAATTTTTTTAAATCTCCTCTGTCCCCTCTCATTCAGAAACTTTCTAAACTACTGTAAAAATCCCCAGGTGTTGCCTCTGAGGGAAGCCGCTCTAGACCCTTGATCATTTTAATTGCCCACCTCTGAATCTCTTTTAGGTCCCCTATTTGAGGTGTCACACAATATTCCAGAGGTGGCCCAGCCACATCTGGAAAGATATAATAATACAGTGGAGGGATACAGTACATCAAGTTGTCTCGTGTAACTTAGTACTCATTTTGTACCAGGTTTTCTCAGATAACACTTAAACCAGTATAACTTAATGTTGTGTTTTATTTGACAATCTGACCCATTCTTGTGAGGCTTACAGTTTGAATGCCAATGTTAGAATAAGAGGAGTTGCAAGATATCATTAAATATTTCTTTGTTGAGAGATTAGGCATAATGAATGAAATCTGGTTACATACAAAGGTTGATAAACCTGACCACATGGATATCTAAGAAGGCAACACCTTTCCCCAACAGTTTTGTGGCAAGTTTAGGAATGTTGCATAGTGAGAAATATTAAATAGCGATACTATAGCATCAGACTTCAGAGATAGTAGAAGTAGTATCTATTCAAAATACATCCTTTAACTTTATTTAGTGTCAAATTTGACATTCAAATACTTGGCACAGAACTGGAACAATTGGCCTAATTCCTAACTGATGACAGTGGTAGGTGTAGTCAGTCACAAAAAACTCATTTATTAGATGGCAAACTGATGTGGATATTCCTCTGCAATCTTCCTTCCCCCATGTTCCCTATTACCTGTTGTCTCAAAAGTGCTTTATCAAGAGGCAGATGGGCTTTCTTGTTTTTCTTTGAACACTTTTCTCCTCCAAGAAGCTTCTTCAGCTCTGACTGGATGGTGGGAAATGGAAGAATTTATATTCTTTCCTATTACCTGTTCCATTTTTCTTTTACCTAAGAAAGGCTGAGTGCCAAAGAATTGAGGCCTTTGAACTATGGTGCTGGAGAAGAGTCCTGCGAATCCCCTGGACTGCAAGGCGATCAAACCAGTCAGTCCTAGAGGAGATCAACCCTGACTGCTGTTTAGAAGGCCAGATCCTGAAGTTGAAACTCAAGTACTTTGGCCACGTAATGAGAAGGAAGGACTCACTGGAGAGGAGCCTAATGCTGGGAAAAATTGAGGGCAATAGAAGAAGGGGACAATAGAGAATGAGATGGCTGG